ACGAAGGCCAAGACGGAAGGTTTACTCTCAACTGGCGACCAACTTGAGTGCTAGGAAGGGCATTCTCTTTGACTGGGAGTGAGCGTTTCTTCCAGAAATACGTTTGCTTCGTTTGCTTACGGCCACATTCCAACGTCATATGGTGCAGACTGTGCAAAAGAGGCCCGTAATGTCTTACCCTGTTACCTTTTTAGACTTCCCGCATGGCACCTGCAGAATATGGTCTATGTATTACCGAGCTAGACGACCACGGACATTGTCTCGTAAGGGTTTGGGCGTATCGCGCATTTTGACCAGGCTAGCCGCACTCTTCGTCGAGCCTATCTTCCTAAACATAGCGTACCACTCACATCGTTGTGAACATTTCTGCCAAATCAGAATAAATCACTTGGATTTCCAGAAGGTGCAGGAGGGTCGCCTTTGTAGAGATGGCAGGTGTACCTCCTGGACAAGTTAGACTGTGGCTTATGTAGTTGCCTCACAACCACTTTTGTAAGCAATCAAATTGCAGAGGAACCACGTCCACAAGCATGCAAGCGCTCGCGCATGAAAGCAAGTGGCGCTAGAGGCATGCCTTCCTTCGGGACTGTAACAGAGTTAACAATGCCAAGGGCAAAGAAACTTGAACAGGTCGCTCTTTTGAAATTGAAATCGCCCGTTCTTCCACGATTGATATATTTTACTGTGACGTTGTTAGCCTAGCCAAAGGACTAGTCAGTGCGACTCCAGTGCAACTTCTCGTAAACCAAAATCTAATGTGGCCTGAACTACTGAGGAGGCCCAGAATCCTCTGGGCCTCAGTAGTTCAAGCCGCACTGATTAGTCCTTTAGCTAGGCTAACGACGTCACAGTAAAACATAACGATCGTGGGAAAACGGGCGATTTCAATTTCAAAAGATCGACTTGTTCAAGTTTTTTGCCCGTGGCATCGGTGACTCCATCGCTGCAGACATATTCCAGTTTCAACTATTCCAAAACGGGAATTCAAGCTTCTGTATGGTACTTCGGAACACTCCTGAGGACAAACTTCCTTGCGCTCATACTTTTAGGGAGTGCCTGACTCTGCATCGGAAAATCGCGTAAACGCTAAGGGTCCATAAGCCTTTAAACACACTTCGCGCTTGTCTCTATTTGGCGTACTCTTCTATTTGCAAGATTAACAAAGGCTCAATATGAGGTGACCGGGGAATTTTACAAAAACATGACGTATTTTCTTTTCAGAGGTACAACACCTCTAGTGAAATGTACACGCAGTAACCACCCATAGTACGTTTGCTACAGCACTAACAACATGGTGTATTCCAGCAGATAAAAACCAGCGTTCCGTCGCCGGGACTTGAACCCGGGTCGCGCGGGTGAGAGCCGCGTATCCTAACCACCTAGACTACGACGGACGACGAACGGCCCCCCTCTCTCACTGAGTAACTCAAGATAGCTCTGCCTCTCAGGAAACCACAAGGAAAAAGCTAGGAAACGACTACCCGGGGGGCCTTTACCGTACTTTCTCACACTGAAGAGGTCCTTGTTCGGCATGGGAAACAGAGCGGAAGGATTCGTATTCCCTAAACCTGCTGCGGTCGGTACATGCAGCTTTAAAAAGGATATGCAAGCAGCCTCTGTTGTTGTTGACAGTTGCCCAAATTCTTTCTTGCGGCGTTCCATTCACAAGGCTGTCTCTTGCGTGTAGACGTGAACCATACACGGCAGGGTGAAGTCTCTGCCACTGTGAAGCTCCGAGTTAGCAACTAGCAGCCAAAGTCCCAAACTGCACTAAAGGTAGTCAATCAACAAACACTTGAAAAGGCAAAGATGAATGCAAGCGAGTTGGCTGTATGTCTGTTGCCTATAAGTAAAATTAGAAATGACCTGTAGAGCTCAAAAAATCGAGCAAGCTGCTTGAAAGCAGAAGGACGCGGCTTTCTCAGCCAGCGTTTTGCGGTCAAAAAAACCGCAAGCTGAGCGATGTCTCGCCGAGAAGTCGGTACAATAGAAGAAAGCGAGAAATGCTCCCCAATACTAGGGGACGAAGGCGGAGGCGTGGATACGGTCTCTGACTCAAAGGCTTAGTATATGCCGATCTTGATTACTAGTATGGAGTAAAGGGTGTCAAAGGCTGCGGCGGGGACTTGGAATATTGGTGCTCGACATTTTCTTCACTTCCAAGGGCGCTTGCTTTCATTTGTTGCCTCTTGGCTACTGCTTGAGCCCTTCTGTGCTGGATTTCAGCCCACCTCTGGCGGTGCCGCTGTTGTGCTTCTTGTGTCCTTCTCTTCTGCTTTCTTTGAGGCTGCGGCTGCGGCCGGGCGGCCTCGCACTTCTTCAAGCTGTAAAGGTTTGATAGGACGGCCTCGGACGACAGGGGCCTCGCAGCAATCAAAGCATCGAGCAGACTCGGGTCTGCACGCCCTGCGCACTGTGCAACAGTGGGACGGCAGGAGACTGATGCCCCCAAAATAACGTCTTGAACCTCTTCCGTATCATCCGCGTCCCTGTAGTTGCTATCACTGCGGTTGCAGGAAACCTGCTCTGAAGTTGGAGCTGAAGATCTTCCTAGTTGCTGCTGGTTTTGCTGCGCCTTGTCAAGCCCTTCGGCTTGCCCTTGAGGGGAACTTCCGAGGGCCACAGAGGTGCCAAAAGCGGGTGGCGCCTCACACCCACAGTCAGATATCTCTCCTTCCTCCGCGTCAGAGCCCTCAGAGGCTCTAGGAAATTCTGCTGGTCGTAAGATAGACAAGCTTGAGGTACCCTGCAAACGGCAGTGCGCCACGCCAGGTGCTGCTGAAGAAAGGGAAGCTTCTTGTCCGGTTACGCTTCTGCTGCATTGTGTCGAATGGTGCTGCTGCCTGTTTTGCTGCTTCAGCTGCTGCTCTTCCTGCATCTGCTGTCGGTCACACCTTCTTAGACTATCCCCCAAAAATTCTGAATCTGAATCGCCTGATGCTCCTGGGGCCACTGGAGGACCCGTTGCAGCAAGTTCTTCTAAAGGGTCTACCCTGTGCTGTTCGATGAGGGGCACGAGAGACGGTAAAGATAATGCATTTAGAATTGCGATTGTTTCTTCTCTCCCTTTCTCGTCAAGGCCCGTCAAGGCCTCCAAAGCCTCTGAAGATAAGCCCGGAACGGCCACGGAGCTATCATTCAACAGTCGTGAGTCTTTCGCCGTTGCTCCTCCTGTTGTCAGGATGGTCTCTCTGGAACTGGGAGGCAGCGGAGGAGGTGGCGGAGGAGGTGGGAACAAAGCAGTGGAAGACGGAGTGGGGGGCACCGCTGTGATTACTGCTGGTCCTTGGGGAGGCGGAGGCGGAGGAGGTGGCACTGAGGGAGTTGGCTCTGCAATGCCTGAAGTTACAACAGTAGATACTGGAACCAATGCTTCATTGTCGGCAGCACCCGGCACCGCAGTCGCTACAGTATCACCTTCATCTCTAAGGCTTCCACGCTTTCGCCTGCTTTGATGCGTACCTGTTGCTGTGGCCGCACCAGCAGGAGCAACAGCCGTGGCTTGGTCTGCTGAAGTTCGCGTCATCTCGCCCGGGGTCTTTCGCCTCTTCTCTCCCTGTAGATTGCCAAAAAACTCCATCTTCCGACGATGCTCTACCGGATATTTTCTGGGGGAATTCTCATGCTCGTCAAGGGGCTCTTGCTGCAGCTGTTGTTGGGATTTACTTCCGTGCAGTCTACGCGCCAGAGTATTCAAAGTCGCTCTTTCAGATGAGGGTAGCAATGCAAATGCTGGCGTCGCAGCCGCTCCAGTTGTCGTCAATATTGTTGCTTCTTCTCGTGTCGCTACTGATGTTGATTCTGGGTAGCAGCCCACAACACTGCTGAAAGCTTGCATTTTTTCTCCCCTGCAGTGTTGCTCTACCAAGGGACCTTCCAAAGCCTCCTTGCGCGGCAATTCAACTTGGCCGTCCTGATTACAGACGAGGGAAGAAAGAAGATCTGCAAATGCTTGAAGATCTCTGACAGAAGCAGCGGCAATATGTTGCTGCTGCTGCTTCAGTGTCTGCTGTAGTTCGAACTCAACTGCGGCGAACACTTGCTGTGCTCGAAGTAGCAGTGGCTGCAGCAGCCACCAGTTGCTAGCAGAGGGACAGCAATTCCGGCCCTTCTTTCCATGTTCTTTGTTTCTGCAGCTATTGCTGTTGCCATCTTTCCTGCCGCTGCTGCCGCTGCTATTGCAAACGCTTGCTGAACGCGGCAGAGCTCCCGTCGAGCATCCACTGTTTCTGGGGGCCCCGGGGACCCCCGAAGATCTCCTTGGTGAGTTTTCGTTCATGAAATGCACGCAAAACTTCCTTGCTCTTTTTCGTATAGTTGGGGCCCGCACTGCGTCTAGCGTTGGTGCTTCAGCGGGGCCCCCCGAATCCCTTGCACCTTGTCCCTTCGAGAAGGCGTTTGTGCTTACCAAAAATGAAGCCTTGCCACTAAAGCGTTACTTGGTCCAGCGCAGCTGCTGCGTCGGCTTCTGAGAAACCGCGCGAAAAAGTCCCTCGGGGGGCCCCTGGATAGCAGGAGGCTGCGTAGCCACAGTTGACCCAGAAGGGTAATTGGGTAGCGAGTTGTGACTATCACCTGCTGCCTCTCATAAGATCTGACGCCACTTACGCGTTGCAGAAACGCTATATAAAAGGAGAGCCAGTAAGGTGGGTTGGCGCGGCCGAGAAGCCCCAATTGGGGGCCCCTCATGGGGGCCCCCCGATGTTCTGGTCGCCCATCCTGCTTGCATCTCAGCCTACTGTATAGTCGCATAATCCATCCTTCTGTTGCTGCCCATGGAACAAAGGATGCTGCAAATACGCTGCTGCGCGTTGAGTAGCAGCAGTAGCAGCAGCAGCAGCAGCAGGAGCAGCGAGAGCAGCAGCAGCGGTCCAACATGATTTTCAGTAGATAGCGATCCCCTCATATAGGCGCAGCAGAATATCTGTGTTGAGCAACTGTTGGAGTTTCTGTCCCCCAGGGACACCTGAAGATCACCAGGGTCACCTTCCTGTCTAAAGATGTTGCAGCGAGCGTGCCCCGCCGCCAAGTATTTCAAAAGTTCCCTCAGCTGTCCCATCGCGAGGACTCAGAGGGGCTTTCACAGGGAGCTCTGTGGTTCCGTGGCTAGTAGTGGCGTCCAACGCAGCAGTACGATTGTCTCTGCTGCAGCAGCAGTAAACGCTGAAGCAGAAGAGACAGCCACTTCCCGCACCATAAACAAGGCCCATGCTGATTCTTCGAGCGATGCGTTGCAGCGCTGTGCTGTCCCACCATCAAGAAAAGTACAACGCTCCAACAGATATGGTTACAGCCTGCACAATTCGCGGGTACAGTTACCTTTTGTACGCGATGGGCCTAGCGTCTTTGAAGCATCAGAAGTCTCATTACAATTCCCGAATGATGGCCTCTCAAAAACTTCACACGGAGAAGAACCGGTGGAATGCGCAGCAAGTGCAACAACGCGAGCGGCCGTCACAACCGCAGCATCCTTTGCAAGAACTGCACCGATAGAGGGCAAATGCAACAGAAGCCAACGCGAGACCTCGTCGTCTGAATCGAACATGAGAGAAAGTCCTTTTGTAAGGCGCCATATCAGGACCTCTTCTACCGCTGCTTCCGAGGTTGTCGCAATTGAGGCACTGCAGGCGCGATGGAGGCTGCTGCGTCGAGTCGCAAAGCAGCGAAAGGTGCTGTCGCGGGAAGCGGCAGAGCAGCTTCCTGTTCTGTTCGAACAGACAGACGCCGCTATTCAATATGCATCTGGAAGGGCCCCAACCACGCCCATGGACGCAGCGACAGTAGCAACGGCGGCAACAACTGCAGCCGCATCTGTAGATGCAGAGGCAGTGGGTCCCATGGAGCCTTTTGTGCGACTCAGCTTGAATGTGTTGACTTTTGCTGCCGTTTGTCTAGAGAGGCACGTGAAGGAAGTCGAAGGAACACGAACTGTTGCTAATGCTGCAGAATCGAAACTCTGCACAGTGCAGCAACTGCCTCTAAATACCGTGCTGCCACAAGCACAACAGCAGCGCGGCAGCAGCCTCAGCAGGAACAACCAGAGCAGCGTTGGCAACGCGAACGTCCCTTCCCAGGCTATATATATGTCTGTTTCGTTGTTACTGCGCACAGCGGAGGTTGCTTTGAGGTGGTTACAACGGCAGCAACGGCTCGTAACAGCAGGAAGCACACGCTTGGAGATGCTGCAACCAACAGAGGCGGCTGCTTTTCTGCGATCCTTTTCGTTGCTAATTTGCCACTGTGTTCCACTGCATCAGTTTCAGCCTGCAGCAGCAACAGCTATTATTCCGTTGTACATTCACATGCTGCAGCAGCAGCGCACTTTGCAGCTTCCGGTCGCCCTGAGCACATGTAGGGCCTTGCTTCTTCTGGAGCGATCTGTCAAGTCTCACGAAGAAGAACAGCACCACGCCTTTTCTGCTTATAACTTTGGTCCTAGACGAGGCCAGGAGTCTGAATCTCACCAGCATCAGCAGCTGCCTTTAGAACAACTTTTGGTTTCCTCAATATCCAAAACGTGTGAAGGCGACACTCGTTACCGTCAGTCTTGCACACTCTCCCCTCATGATTTGTATGCACATCTAGATCGTGCGGTGCTGAAGTTCCTAAGCAGACATATTTCCCCCTCTTCGGAATCTGGAAGTGCTACAGCTCATCTGCAACAGCAGAGAGAGCAGGGAAAAGAAGAACAACAGCAAGAGCAGCAGCATGCGCAAGAGCAGCACGTGAAAGCGGGTGCATCGAGCCGCATTCTTTCAGTTGCTCTTATGGAGGGTGTACAGCTTTTGCTGAGGCCTACTGCATGTGGTACAGTGCGGCTAGCGGTTGGAGAAGAGCTGCTTCAACTACTGCTAGTGTTGCAGAGAGATCCCAAAGCTTACCTGAGGCAGCTGCTGCATGTGGGCGTGGACGAAACCTCGCTGCTGCAGGAGACACCGGCTCTTTGCGCAGTTGCCGAAGCAGCCCGTTGCGTTTTCAGCTGGAGCGATCCAGCCAGAAGCAGTAGAATCAGCTGCACCATGGGAAGGCAGCAGCAGCTGACGCTATCGGGCTTGCGGCGCGGCTTGCTGCAGGCAACGCGTGGTGCTGTCATCTCTCTACTGTTTTCTGCTTTGCACCGCTGCGATCCTTCTTCGCAACCCTCTAGAAAAAGCCAGCATCAGCAGTTACAAGAGAAGCAGATGAGGCAGCTGCTGAACCGGCTGCGTGCCGTGGCAGTTCTCTCAGAGGTATATGTCCACCAGGAGGTGTGGACACGGCCCATCGCTTGCGCGCTACTGTGGGAGGCGCTTACGTTGTTGCGGGATTTTCAGCGCAAATTAGCCCTACCTGTTCCCCCCGGAGTGCTTGCCGATGTGCAGCAGCAACTGACGCCGTTAATCAGCCCTCTGCTGAAGCTTGCAGACCATTTGTGTTTGATTTCTCTAGTTTCTGGACGCCTGCATTCAGCAGCAGCAACAGGAGCAGCTGAGGAAGAGCCCACTCTGCTGCAACAAGCAACCTTTTTCTTTGAAGGATCGTCGGCTTTCCTTCTGGGGCTGTTGCGCGAGTTAGCTGCGGAGCAGCAGCACTGGCTTTTGAAGGAGGCGGCTCTATGGGATTCGCTTTCTCAAGAGCAGCGGCAACAGAAGCAACTGTGCCAAAGCCGACAAGAGCACCAGCAGCATAGGCAAAGATTACAGCAGCCGCTACCAGGGCAGGGACAACAGCAGATGAGTGCTGTGGCAGCTGCTGCCGGCTGCATCACATCTTCGCTGCTAAGGGCCTTTGGAGGTCCTGATGCAGGCGCAGCAGCGCTGGTTTACCTGCATCTGCAGCAAGCACACCATCACTTGTCTTCGCTGCACGCAAATCCTTCATTTCAGCAGGCCCTTCTCAGCTTGCGTGATCAGTGGAGGGAGAGGCAGCAGCAGCAGCAACAGCAACAACAGCAACAACGCCAGCACCACGAGGCCAACAGGCGATGGAGAGAGAGCACGGACCCCTGGTCCTTGATGAGCCGTATTGACTTCGCCTTCGGCTCATGGCTGCAACAACAGCAGCAACTTCTCCTAAGGCAGGATATAAAACAGGAGCAGCAGCGGTCTGCCGCTGCTGCTGCTGCTTCTGGAAAGCATCTTCGGGCGCACACGCTTTGTTACGTGCCGCTTTTAGCTACGGACGGCAAGCAGGAGCACTTCCATCTCCAAGGGATGAATCACGAGCAGCTTCACCTTCACCAGCACCCATTTGCGCTGGGTGATTGGAACACAAGGGAAGAGGCCAGAGGCGCACACGGCTGCAGCAGTGGCAGTTATAACTGCATCTGTAGCAACGTGCTATGGGAATCCTGTTTACTCCAGGAGAGCTCAGGCCTTCTTGCTTCTGCAGCACCCGCAGCCCCCATCGCTTTGCACCAGACAGCCACAGCACAGCAGCTATTGCAATGGCCACAGCACGAAGGGCAGGAGCAGCTGAATTCCCAGGGACAGCAACCTTGCCAGGAGTTTGTAGTCCCTCTAGGCTCATGCCTACGGCTACTGAAAAGGAAGCTCTCCCTCCAGAGCGCTGTGTTGCATGCAGAGACTCCAATGCTGCAGCCGTATCGGAACTCCGATCAGCAACTGTTGCAGCTGCTGCACCAGCACTTAAATCAACTGCAAGAGCAGTTGAAGCAGGCGCAACAGCACCAAGCCCAGGGTGGGTTAAAGGAGGTCGCCCACGCGAAGGATTATATGGAAGACAGACAGGAGCCTCGAAAAGAGCGTTTGCAGCTGCCACTCCCTGAAGCAGTGCTAAGAATTCAGTGGCTGATGCAAGGCGCTGCGCACGCGAAAGCAGGAACTTTCAAAACGCCTCAACAGCTTCTTTTGTTGCTGCAAGACGTGGGTTATTTGTTGTGCGAAGCGCAGGCCGGTTTGGAGCGGCGAGTGCGTGCTGCGGGAGCACGCATGCAGGAATGCTCTGATGCTGCTGCATTCGCGCATGCACCAGATAAAGGAAAACGTACAGAGTCGACAGGAAGTGTGCCAACAAGCCAGCGGACCAGCGTTGCAAAGGAAGCCGACTTCACGAGCAGTTCAGGTCAAAATGGTCTAAGCAAGAGCAGCACTGAAGGACAAAGCAATAGCAGCAACAGCAGTGGCCCTATGCCCCAATTGACAAGCATACAGGTACGCGTCGGATGCTGCGTTGCAGCGGAGCCTCTGTTGGGCCCTCCTGCAGAACTGCTTCAGCTGCTATCTCTGTTCCAGAGCCCTTTTTGGCTAGGGGAGGCGATTCCCGCTCTTGCTGCTGTTGCAGCTCAACTGCGCGACTGCACTACCACGGGCAGCGCAAACGAGCAGAATTTGGGCCAGCTGCAACGCCGTGTAGATTTGCTGCTTCTACTCCAAAGGCTCCAGCAGAAGCAGCAGCTGGTACTTCAGAGCTTGAAACGGGTGCTGCAGCTGCAGCAACAATGGACCACCCAGCAGTATGCTTTATTGAAGGCTTTACATGCAACTCGCGAGCAGCAGCAACAGCGGCAGCTGCGTGGAGATCACACCTCTAGGACGAAGCAACAAGAGCGTCAGTGTGCAAGGTGGGAGCAGACTCTGCAGCGGCGGGTGCAGCAGCAAACACTTGCGGCCGAAGCCAGTAAACGGCGGACGGCGATTCTCTTCGGTGCATGCACAGCTCTTGAACTTTCCCGTCTGCATTTTCGCTTGTCGCTTCTGCGGCAGCTACTGCTGCCGCGGTTGAGGCAGGAGGAGCTGCTGGTCCGCCGCATTGAAGGGCTGCTTCAACGGTGCCGCAGAATTGGTTTCCTTCGTCGACAACTGAAAAGCATGGCCACCAAGAGTAGCAAAGATGGATGTGAGATACCACTGCAGCAACATCAGAAGCCACAGCAGCATCTGTCGCCGCTGAAGCAGCGCCAGGGCGAGCAGCTGAGAGAGGAGGTTGTGAATTTGTTGACTTTTGGGTTCAACGAGCTGTATGCAGTCCTTAGGTGGGTAAGCGTTGTAATACTGGAGACTCTCTCTTGTGATCAGAGTCCCGATGCTGCCGTTATTTGTATTTTGCTTGCTGTTGTTGCTGCTACTGGTGATGTACCTGCTGCTTTCAAACCTGTTGGAGTCCCTATATCGACGGCGTACCGCTTTGCATGAAACTGGAGAGCCTACATTCTGCGAAAGTGTACACTGCCCAGCGATGCATCCTAAATGCCAAGGGGCTTGTGCCCTAAGGGTACAGTATCATTGCCTTATCTGCGTCATTTGTGAGGCCTGCAGGGATGCATCTGAGCTTCGCCAGTTTGACATGCGGCGATTTGGTGCTTCTGATAAGTTGACTGCTGCGGCACAGCAACAGCAACACGTACAACAGCGCAATAGTGGAGATACATTTGCTGAATGGTCCCACACAGCCTTTTGCAGCTGTAGTAGTAGCCTGCTACAGGCAGCAGCGGACCTGAAGACACCACCTAGTGTCCAATGGGTCATTGCCTTATGGAGGGTGGGCTTGTCGCAGCATCAAGCATCCAACCATTGGCGAAAAGTTCGATTCTTTGCCCAAACCGTTCTGGAGAGCCACCTTTGCTGAGCACAGTTGTCGGCGTTGAGTATAGTTCCCAGCTTGCTTTTACCCGCGAGACCAGCTTCCGTGCTGCTGCTGTTTGTTTTTCCAGGCGTTGCTTATAGAGAACGTGTTGTGCATTGGTGAACAACAGCTAGCCCAGCAGGAGCAGCAGCGTGACGAGCTACAGCAACAACTGTTTGCTGCTCTAACGCTGCGTATTCGCAATCAAATAGTTGCAGGGCAACAGCCCCTAGATGTGGCTGAGGTACGTACGGTAACACTGGTGCACGTCTTGCTCTAGTCCTTATTTATGTGAGCCAACTCCGACCAGAAGCCTTCCGCATGTTGTCCGTTCTCTGGAGTTGTGATGCTGCTTGCGCTCAGTTATTGAGCGCGGACTGCCCGCTACCGCCGCGTGTGTCTGCTGCCCTATTCTCTTTGCTGTACCGTCAAAGCATTCCTTTGCTTTTGGAGCCTCAGCAGCAGCAGAGGCTTCTCTTTTCGGCATTCCGAACCGAGCAGGAGCAGCGCTGGTGTGGTACAGCTAGGCAGGCAAGGGGCACACTGTGGGCGCTGTCCCCACGGGCACTTCACTGCTATCTTGCGGATCAGTGGAAGCTCTGGCAAAGAAAGGCTGACACCAGAGACCAATGGGCAATCTTTCGCCTTCTTGCTTGCTGCTTGTGAGACCTGCATGACAGTGCTTTTGCTGCTACTGTTGCTCCTGATAATGCCGCACTGCCTGCTTTTGGCAGCATGATTTGACTGGCTTTTAATTGCGTATTGGTGTTTTTGTCAGGGCGCGCCGCCGAGTAGACGAGAGATTGCTGTCGCTTGTACTTCCTCACATCAAGAGGTTTATTAGCGACAACCCCGCTGCCACAGCAGCTACAGGAACAGCAGCAACGGCAACATCAGGAGAACCTTTGTGGCCCTCTGAGTGGCTCATGCATTGTGAGGAGCTACCGAGCCTTCTTGCGTACACTGCTCAAGTGGCGGTGTTTGCTGCTGCTGTGGTTGCGGCTGTCCCCAGCCCGCTGCTGCCTCAAGAAGCTGCAGACCTCTGGCAGAAACAACAGCACCAGCAGCAGCACCAGCACCAAGTGCAACAGCGGCGAACTGACACGCCGGTAACTACATCTGAAGCTCCCAAGGCGAATGTGAATTGTATGCTTACAACACCACAGCTTCAGCAGCGCATCGGGACTGTTTTGCAGCAAGTGAATGCATCCTTGCTGCTACAGCAGGACACGTTGTGCCGCCTGCGGCAGGCTCTACAGCAAACAGTACAGCAGCGACAGCAGCAGCTTCCTGTTCTGGGACAGTTTAGTACCTCAGCAGCGTCACGAGCCGTAGCGAATACAGGACACACTGGGCCCTCAGCAGCAACAGCAAAGCTATCAGAAAGTTCGTTGCAACGGGATACAGCTGGAGATATCCAGCTACTCCAGCCTTCTTTGCAGATTCTGCAATGTTGCAGCCGTCTGTCTCTGGCGTTCTGCAGCTGGGGCTACTTCGAGTGTCTTGCTGTTCAACTGCTGCTACAGGTTGCTGCCGCTGCCGTGCACATTTTGCGCCCTCTAGCTCCTGTTTGGCTCCAGGAACAGCAGAAGCACCTGCACGAAGCAGTTACAACGAAAGGACTACATCCGCCTCAACTGGTACTGCAACAGCAGCGGCTGTCCCGAGCCCGCGCTGCTATTGAAGAAGCAGTGGGCGACTTAGGTTTTACGGTGTCTTTGCTGCAGTGTTTCTGCCCCCAACTTCTGAAGGTGAATCTGCTTTGGCTTTAGAGGTCCTTCAGTTTTGATTTAGCCACATGCTTATTTCAGAGGAGGCACATGCTTTTCCAGTGCGCCTTCCCTTTCACCCTCAAACTCTCGGAGATTGCTGGTAGCAACAAGTGATATTGTGCTGTTGCACAATAGGCCCTTACCAGCGGCGGGTCGGCCTGCATGCCAGAACTTAATGTATTGTGTTCAATAAGCCTTGACAGGCCTTTTGCCGCTTGCATAATACTGGTGCCACTTTTTTCTCGTTTGTTCGGACTTCACAGTGACGCGAAGGTTTGGAAGTTTATGGCTTTTTCTGCTGCAGCTTTTGTTCCTGACGATGCTTCTGCAGGGCCTGATGCATGCGACTGATCTGCAGCGCCTAACGGATGATTGTGACACGCTGTTAGAAGCAGCGGCATCAGCGAGACAGCACACAACGATGATGCGCCCATCTGAGAGAAAAACGGGCGAGTTAGACATTTCTGTGTCTTCTTTTGGCGCAAGAGAGCCTGAGGATGCTGAAGGAGGCTCCGCAGCAGCAAGAGCAGATGGTGAAGTGGAGGCACATACACCAGCGGCAGCAACATGTGGAAGGGAAGCGGGTGCAGCAGCAGCAGCAGTAAGCGTTGCAGGAGTTGGTGAAGAAGCACCAGACACAGCGCTTGCGGCAGCAAGACTTCGAGGCGTAGGGGACTGGCAGTTACTAGAGCACGAGGTGGCGAGGGCTCTGCATGGGCTTCTGCCAGCTGCTGAGGGCCCCCCAGCAAAAGTAGGTGATTGCTTCTGTACTTTAAATATTAGTCAACTGCCACATCTAGGGAAGGTGCAGATTTTTTTCCCCATAGAAGTGCACACGCGTGGAAGTCATCTGCCCTTAACAGCTTAAGAGTCTGCTCTGAAATGCATTTACGTCTGTCTGATGATGCTGCTGCAGGCAGCTCTTATGAGAGTGTGCGGCGTTGTCTCTAGCAGCACACTTCAGATCCAAACAGAGGAAATCGGCCACATCCACCATCGCCATTGCAGTCAACAACAACGACAGCTGCAGCAAGTTAGGCAGCACTTGTTGGTATTTATCGCACCGGCAGACACATGTGGCCGTCGGCAAGGAATATTGTTGCCGAAAAAGCTGCTGCAGTTGTTCGTGTTGAGACGTCTTGGCTGGGAGGTGAGGCAATTCGAACATTTTAGCGAGTCAAGGACGTGCCTTTCAAGATGCGCTGCAACACATTACAAATGGTGAAGGTTGAGGGACTGATTACTGTGGCTTCCCACAGGTCCGGCTCATTAATCTTTCGGCTTGTCGTCAGAAGGATTGCGGGGAGCTGCGGCAATATCTTGAGACTGAGTTGTCAAAAGGCCAAGCACTGACAGAACTATGGAGTCTCGAGAGGCCGCAGGAAAACGGACGACTTGCACACGATGACCCTGCTTTCCTGTCATCAACGACGTAATATGAGGCCGTATGGTGGTCCTGTGCATTCTTGGCTTTAAGCGTAAGCTCAGACGTAATCATTTCAATAAGTGCATAATTTTTGAGCCAGCGGCGGCTGTTCACTGCTGTAGTTGATGAAAACAGCAATGGGCGTTCATATGGGGGATGCTTTCATCATTGCTTCCTCATCGTCCTGTTGAAGGAGGATAAAGGGGTGGGTTGCAGCTTACGGGCTAGCTTTGAAGTTTACTTGTTGTTTGGCACGTGTTTGAGACCCCGAAAGCCATGACATGAGAGACCCGTCGATTCCCAAGAACTTGCTTTTGCTTCGTCTATACGGCGGTCCGTCGGGACGAGAGGGCAAAGAGAGGGTGAGAGCCACTGACCGCATAGTTGTTGGCACTCACGCTGAGTGCTTGAATCGTTTTAGACGAGCTTTTGGCTAGCAATCTCATTTTTTCAAGGCATATTGGGTTCTGCTGCGGCCCTCAAAGATTGTTGAAGCAGTAGGTCCGACAGCAACGCTGAGAATTGTAGCTTCGATTGCATTTTGCGTAGGTGTATTCAGCTATTACTCACTTCTTGAACCGATCTGTGTGAACGCTGAGGGGATTGTTTTTGCGAGAGAATGAAGTCGCTGGGTAGCGTCCCCTCATCACGAGTTCAATCAGATAGTCAACGATGACATGAATCCTGTATACTCAAAACACGTACCGTTGGCCTAAGCACATTTCCCTGTGAGGCTTTGAGCATGAAAGATACACCCAGCAGTTTGCAGCGGCTCTCCTGAAGCGCCCCGCTGCAGTTGCAGCTCAAATAGGCCGAACCAAGAAAAAGATGGTCTCATGTAGGGAGGATATAGACTGGTGCATCGAATCCAGTAAGTGCAACTCTGATTTTCCTCCTTACTGGAAGGGGTGTCCCGGTTCTATTAACTTCGGAATTCTTAGGTCTTACTTTGCCGGCTGTTCCAGCACAGTGTCACCTTGTGTGCCGATGCGGGGAGAATTCACAGCCTTCGAAAAGCACTGGAATTGCATGCAGGGTCTGCCTTTCCTCAAGAACAAACCTAGCTTGTGCTATTATCAAGCGAATTAGATATACCATTAACAACCCTTGCCACCTAGTACCGCCTGAGCTAGTTAGCTGGGACTCTTTTCTTCACAAAGCAAGCATTCCCAGTCTAATGCCCAGTGAGTCGAACAGGATTAGTAAAGGCTCTAAGAGGCCTCATAAGTGCGAGAACACCAAAAGCGTGCTCTCGCTCGCACGTAGGGAGCACGCTTTTAGAACAGTTTATGCGAAAAAAGAGTAGGTGAAGCCAGCTGGGAGCACAGCAAAGTCAAGAAGACCGAAGTGGTTAACGAGACAAAGTCCCCAGGAAGCTTTGCAGTTCAGACACCGAAGGAACGCGTTCACTGTTTTGACCTCTGACAAACGGAAAGGACTGAATCTTGTCGGCTCCTTTTCAGGGCAGTTTGCAGTGAGTATTCCTGGTGAAAACTTAAGAGTTTTCATGGACCTTCTCAGAGTTGAACTGTCCGGAGTTATGTGGCTTCGTTCTGAGCAGGCCTGAAGGCCTATTGCCGAAGCAAGACACAGCTGTAACCTAGCTACTAGACTAGTGCATCATGCTATAAAAGCGTCTAGGAGGCACTGTGGTAGTTACAGTGAGCTAGGCGGGAGTAAAAGAGGCTACGTGGGAGCGAGGCCATCACCTTCTGCGCCACGGGCGGGATACAGAAAAACAGAGCCGGCACTGCAATTACGCGGAAATCTCCTCAGTGATAAAACACGGGTCTCTCCTGTAAATATCGTTGGTGAGGCAGTCTCTCAAATAGATGAGTGCGTCGGGTGCCCTACGGAACTAAATAGGGACCTGCTTCACCGAATTGACGTTGTTTACCTTTCAGTCTAGGGCTACAACAACAATCGCGAGCCCCTTTGTAGATATCTGAGTATGGTCAGTGGCCAGCCAGGATTTTAATAGGTAGGTGTTCATCTGCTACTGGCGCTACACAGTGCCACGGAACAAATTTGTCAGTTCCTCATTAATCTATAATAATATTCCTCACCGTAGGCTGCCACAGTTTTCTTCATGTTACTTGGGCTGAACACTTCGGAGGTTGCCTGTTATTCCAGGAACCAAACCTGCTTTTCTGTCGCCAGTGCTGGCATCTAGAGCAGCGTAGGGGGTACATGATCGCACCACTGGCCGGGACACATTTCGAAGTAGGCGCCACACCAATGTATACATTTTAGTGGGACGGAGTCACTGGCGTGACCTAAATAGTGGAGATCTCAGATGGCAGCAGAAAGAGGTCCTGTCTGGCAGGCAACGGCAAAAAACTCCCCCCTGCACTGAATACTTGTCAGTAGTCTTCGTCCTATTTGCATTGTATACGCGCATAGAGGTCTCCAATATTTCACATATTTTGCAAAATTGTAAAAGATTGTTGCAGTGCGTGCAGCGAAATTAATTGGTTGTGCGGACAGCCTAACCTTTCACCCTTGGAACTTCCACGGGGACTCTTTGTGTCTTCCCATCATTCTCATGCGACTTAATTTATATCTTAACTTCGCACGAAATATCTTTGTTCAGTGAGCAAAATCTATGTGCCCTTCATTTGTCGGCCTCCTAGTAGTGACTCCACCCCTCAGCCAAAGTGACCTCGCACTCTGGATGCGGCGATACTCGGCTGCGCAGTTCTTCATTGCTTATCCAGATGTATACTGATGGATTTCCGTGGAATCACTCGCGTTCCACGTGATGGGAGGTGAACTGAAGAGCAGATTCCTCGCAACTCTCCAGCACTGTCTCAGCAACGCCTTCAACACCGGAAGATGTTCTTCCTTTCTCTGGTGCTGTTTATTCTTTTTATCCCGATTCTGATTTTACTTGCAACTGTGCAGCTATTGTGCCTGCTGTTGCGCTGCATATGCTGCTGTTTCCCATGCAAAGCCCTCTGCCACTCCCCAAGCGTGTTCGAGGCGGCCAAATTGCCTGGGAAAATAGGCGGAGGCTGGGGTTGCTGTTCGATGCATTACGGAGACGATCATGTTTGACAGTTGTCTCTTCATGGACTTGCTGACGGATGCGCAGCGGACTCGAGCGTCCCTGCCTCTTTGGCTGAGGGCGTTGTATTCCACGAGTTGTTTGAATGCCCCGCAGGCTCCTTCAGTCTCCTTATTTGCAGAATTAGCGTTCATTCTATACCTATGCCACCGTTCATGAGCATCCTTCGCTTCTGAGTCAACTGGATGCTCCTACAGAAGCCTACCCTATCTGTGTATCATGATATTGCAGCTTGAAATGTACAACAATGGCGGAGCAAAGGCGAACTTGCTGGACTGTAGTGCCGTTCATGCTTCGACCAACTCATGGTAGCCCGCTGTATGGTAGACCTTTTTGAGCACGCCTTCGTTTAATGGTTATGCTGACTGGTCCCCAACTATTGTGGCGTTTTGGAAACAGTGTTGGTCCCTAAGAAGGGGCCCTTACCACGCAAGTCTTCGATTTTGCCAGAGCTGAGTGAGGAAGCGAAAGGAAACGCATTATAGGATACTAAACGATACTAACTCTATTTCATTCTCAAATCGACAAATGTTTCTGTTATTTTGCCATTGAGACATAACCGACAGAAAACATACAAACGAAGTCAACTTGAGTAGAATGCACTCGAGCTCAGTGAAGGCGAGATAGGCAAACATAATTTCTGTACTATGTTCTACCAGGTATCGTCGTGTCAATCAGACAAGAGTTGCAGTTGCAGTGTGCCTGTCCTTGTGCATGGCTATATGGGCCCTACTCACAAGCTTTTGCTAGCACATACGCAGAAGACTGCGGTCCCTCGGCTCCCCAGCACTGCCCTGTACGCTCTATGAACTTAAGCGTAAAGCCCATTCAGGCATCGACGTAAAATACAGTATTCAAGAAGGATGCTTTCCTGGAGAGGAACGCGCACGAGGAGGCGCCTCCTTTGTGGCATTCCGTGGATGATGCTACGGAAATACAGTGCAAGCACGTGAGTGCAAATGGGCGCCTAAGCATACGTTAATATAAGGCCCAGGAAGCGTCCACTTGACTAACCTGTCATCTTTCTGTCTGTAAAAGTGGGCGCAATTGCCTTTAAAGACTTTAAAAGGGATTTGTCTACGAAACTGCCGAGTGGATCCACGAAATGACATAAAATCCCCAACCCTGCACCTAAAGCCTGGAATCCAACAGTCACGATGGCGCAAATACGTTGTGGAGTTTGGGAGGAGGATTTCTTGGGTCAGAGGCTAAACATCTTCCGACCTCCTCAAGGAAACACATTCCTCGCCAAACCGGAGTGTTGTCGAACCCGAGCGTTCACCGCGGTATAAAGGTTCAACCAATTTTTACGTGCTGCTAATTGTTGCTACTTGGCTTATCAATCTGGGGAATTGGCTAGAGGTGCACATGGAATGCCGCCTGGTGGCACATGTAAGTGCCGACGTGTCACACAGCATACATATTCCATGGCCTCCAAAATAGTAGCGCACGGCCATACTTGGGAGAGTGTTGAACTTCAGCTGGATCATCCAAGCAGAGTAAAATATAATTTGTTTCTACGGACATATCAATACTCCTGATGAGTGTTTATGCGTTACGAGACTTCGGCACGAGAGCCAGGTGGGAGTGTGCTGCGCGTCGCTCTCAACCAACATTCTCCTGCAGACCAGTGAAACTGTAAATTTTTTCGAATTTATCAGCCATTCTGAATGTGGAGAGAAGGTTCTGGGGGGGGATTCGTGTTTGTCCTTGGGCGCTGTATCATGGCTGCAATTGCGGGCAGTGCATGCAGCATCAGTTCGTGAATTGAAGGGTTAGCATCATTTTCTGAAATTTCTGCATGGCGTGTACTGTGAAAGAATTGCATTTGCCTCTCAAAAGTAACTGAATTACAGTAGTGAGCAGCCAGCCCGGCAGTCTGTCCGTCGTCTTCGTAGGCGACGTGTGCTTGTGCCTTCCAGACTCCAGTTCTACACGTCAGG